ACATACAAGCCTAAATACAGACATGTACATATGTAAATATATTTAAGATTAAGGGGGGAACGGACCTAAGTGCAATAATTATTGGTTTGGTAGTAGGGTGGCAGGTGGACATTGGGCCTCCTCATGTGTCTATATATTTTTATGTTGCTAATTACACTGCTAGAACTATCCTTCTCTGTTGACTCTCTGTGCTGGTCTCTCCTGAATCCATCCAATGGGTATTATTTGTTTGCCATCTTGTTCTTCCTCCTCTACTCTGTTATATCTCTACTTTTTAATATGTGTGTCTGCCTTTTACATTTTATTAATTCTCTTGTAAATTATTAGTTTTAATTTATATCCTCAGAGAATATATATGTGAATAAAACTTAATGAATGTAAAAGATAATATTTCTACACTATATAAGTCCATATCTATGTGCAAATAAATATACATATATTAACATTCTTATTTTACCATAGCAAATGCCATTCTTTGGCTTAAATTATATTATATATTAACTTTAAATTTTTTTTTACAAATATGAGCCTTTTAAGTTTAATTAATTCTCTTGGAAATTAATTTCTATAACTTTTGTGATAGTGATATTTGCTCATTGATATCTATCCTTCTGCTATTATAAAGAGCCTCTAAATAGTTGCTATTCATTCAGTCAGAAAGAAAATTCTCCTATTAATTGAAACAGTTTACCACTGAATTTACTGACTCTTATGTATATGTAAAAATATCCCTAGGAGAAGAAAGAATGTGCCATACTTAATCAGTTTTAAGGCACCATCAATTGGAAAGCATACTAGTAATTGTTATACCACTAATTAAAAAAAATATTGCCAATTTAGTTATGAATGATGCCAGATGATATTCTATGGTGACATAATTTCACTTCAAAAAATAAAGCAATATAAAATGAAATAGAGGCAAGTAGTAGGAGGAGGCATGGGCATTTACCGAGGTCTAATTACAAGAATGTATATATGTAAATACATTTATATACAATGATATGGGAATAAAACTATGTCCATATATTTATATGTTAAGTACAAAGGTAGCAGATGGACATTGGGCCTCCACTCAAGTATCCCCTCAACAGAGAAACATTTTGTTCTACTAACCCGTCACTCTGTGATGTTCACTTTCTCTGACACAATTGCTAAAGACAAAATGGGTGCACAAGCAAATGTGGTAAAGAGAGCTGATGGCGCCCAGCTATCAAAAGATACAGCATCTGGGGACCTAAAGACTTGAAGATAAAGAGGCGGACATTATAGAGGCTTGAAGATAAAGAAGTGGCCATCTAGCTAAAAAGCAACAAAGACCACATGGAAGAAGCACACCA